AAGAAGCTACACCAGTGACTTCGTTAAATCTTTGGCCAATGTTCACAACTACATTAAACTGACCGAATTACATCCATCCGTTTTCAATGAAATATACTGTTGACATGCAAAACATTTATTAAAACGTTGCACATCTCTACAATCAATCGATAAGATAACACAAGTGATAGGATTCTTTCCAATGTACAGTAATTCGTATGTTTATTTCAAAACAAACACACACACACAAATGATCCCCTACATAACCGATACGTATCTATTGAGATGACCCCTCGCCCGAGCGTGTGCTCAGGTGTCAATTTCACCTGTCGATACCGTGGATGCTGATGACGTAACACAGGCAATTAATGTTTGTATCAAATAACGTCCCACTTATTTTTCTAAGTTTCTGGTATTTTCATCAGTAAAAACACATTTTAGGGCATGTCTCAAAATTTATTCTCTCGGTCTACATTAGGTAGATGTTTCTTGAAGTGATATTTGTTATTTAAGTAACTGTAATACCTCTGAATTTTAAATATAAGTCAAAAAGCAGTTTTCTAGCATTTCCGACAGTACTTTAGTGAATCCCTCGACGATCTATAGGATGAAGATGTCTTGTAAACTGTAGCTGACATCCTTTGCGAAGGCTCATCTGAGTCCGTACTTGGGTTGAGTCCGTTGATCATCTCCTGCATAATGTCCCCTTGTTTAAAGGTCTGCGGTGGTAGTAGCACTGCCCTTTCTGCGTTGATAGCGACGTGGTCCACAGGACGCTCATCTGTTGTCATCCTAGATACCTCGGGTACCGTGGAGATCTGCGCTGAAGTCACCGAAGGTGACTGGTCGTTACTTGTGATGAACCTCTGGGAAGATGATCGGTTGATCATCGGTCCTTCTACCGTCAACGGAACAATCTCGGCAGAGAAAGTTCTTGTAGTCTGCGCAGACGTCCCCGTAGAGTTGTCGTCATCTAAAGGGTGTGTAGCCTTCTCTGGGTAGAGGATGGTGTCTATACATCGTCTGCGAAGTTGTAGACGCTGCCCTATCTGCGTTGGTGGTGACGGGACCCATGGGAAGCTCATCAGTCATTAGCGTTGATACATCGAGCTGATTGTGGATCTGCGCTGACATCACTGTAGCTGATACCGGTCGTCTCTTGTGATGAACCTCGGGAATGATGAGCGGCTGCTCATCATACAGGCCCTGTTCTGCGACGGGAACAATCTCGGCCAAGAAAGTTCGTGCGGTCTGCGCTGGCTTCCCCTTGGTGGTAGACGCTGCCCTGGGGGTGCGGATTCTGCGCTGAAATGTAGATGCCCTCTTAGTCTAGACTGCGACGGCGGGATGTCTGGTGATGCAGGTCGCTTCTTGGAGACGGCGGACTGCATCCCACGCCTCTCCTCCAAGAGAACTCCAGCGGAACACCAGACGGGAGGGGATTATCCGACAGCAGTTGACTTGAGAGGGATTCAGACGCATATCCATGCCTGGATATAGCTTACGTGACCTATCTGCTGTGCGTCACAAGACGCAAAGTAAATATTTGTTAAATGCAGAATTATATAAATTATTGCAAAAACTGCAACCTGAACTGAAAGAACATGGTACAGTACGGCTAGGGCATATCAAATTAGGATCAGCAGCAGAAAAACGTAACTTGCAAACAGTACAGAATTTTTCATGAACGTAACCTACTGAACAAACACGGAATACACCGCGAATAAACAGCAGTAAATACAAATAATTATCAATACATATTGTTGAAGGATACTAGGTAAACCTCTATAAGGGACTTGTAGAGGTAATTAAGTAAAAATAATCAAAGGATATAGTGCCGTAGGGAGACACAGGCGCTCTCACATCCTGCTCACTGGGTGAAGAAGGAGAGAGTGAAGCATGTGGGGAACGGTGGCGCCGTCTTTCCCACCAAAAGGCAAAGAGGGGCAACTCTTGGTGAGTACTAATTAGTGATTTTAAATTGAAGAGAGCTTCAATTAGGGAGATACAAGTGTTCCACTATGTTCGCAAGAAGAAGAAGACAAGCAAAAAGAGCATGAGTCAGGATAAGGAAAAATATTCGTTATATTTTAGCTTACACAAGGTCTAAGCTGGTTCCCAAGCTGGTTTCCGGCTCCCTTTGCGATCGCGAACTTACGCCATCTTGCGTATATTGCGATAAGCGAGATGGGGCCCAGCGTAACACATGGTCGCAAAGCATGGCAGAAGTTGGTAGACCAAACGGAAGATGCCATTAGCGTGTTTAGGGAGATGAGGGTGATGAAAAAGTAAACAAACGACGGAATACACCTTCCAAGATCCGTCAGAAAGCAGAGGGATAATCGGCTCTTGTTAGAACAATAAATGTGCCCTATAACACGCCTTTTCCAGGTACAAGGCACATGCTCAAGGTGTTGACATGTTGCCTTTTATTAACCCTGAAAACCCATGCTGCCCAAGAGGCGTGAGAAAATTGAATAGCCACATGAATTATCCCACCAGGTACCCATGTACCCTGCTTGGTTATATCGAGGCAATTTGAATAAACTCAGTTGCCTGTATTCAGTGACTGGATATCAGTCTTGTTTCCAACCTAACGGTATATCGCCCGTGCCTCCCGTTGAGCGCTCAGCTGACAGTGCATTCTGGCAAGAAAATGCACGTGTCATCTCCTTATCTGATTCATTCACCTGGTCGTCAACTGGTCCGACTCGTGCTACCTGAACTGCTGTCGCCTCGTGGGACAGTGGATTGATTTTTGAACCGTGGCCTCGAATATAGCCGTGGTGTTTCTAATTCAGTAATAGTAATAATAATAATATTACTGAAAAGTTATATATCGTGAAATCCAACCACAAAGTGGATGCTCAAAGCGCTACAAGTGAGGTTTAAGTTAATAGTACAATGAAAGAGATGCGTTGAAACATGTGATCTGAACGCATAATAAAACATGGAAACAGTTTATAGCGAGGAACAGTCTATTCCACAGTGATGGCGCGCAACCACTGAAAGAACACTCGTAATAAGAGGCCAAGGCAGTCTGTAAGGAGTATTAAATAAGAATTGCTTCCAGATCGTAGTTGTCTGGGTGGTTGAAGCGGGTTATATGATAGATATTTTGGTGCCATGCCATTTAGACTCTTGCCAAGTGGAACAGATTGTCGAGTGGAGACGAGATCGACAACTACCTAGCTCAGAGTTTGTCGTAGGCATAAAACATTAGGAGTCATAATGACTCTCAAGTGACATATGCGAAGGAGTCATGGATATGTTTTGTGAGTAAACGTCAGTTTGGAACTTCCATCAAGACATCAATGTTGATTGTTTAATAACAACAAACAAAACAAATAAGACATGTCAGGTATTTAAGCAGTACCGAGCGGTCAAAACAAAAACAAAAAACAAACACAAAAAACAAAACAGTCATTGGATAGAACCCAAGTTAGATTATCTGAACTAAGGGCCCAGTAGCAGTTCGTCAACAGTGACGCAAGCTTCTAAATCCACTGCCTATTTGAGATAATTGTGTGTTAAATACGCAGGTTATCTGCATCATGACAAACACTGCTGACACCCTTATATCTATCCCCCCTGAAGGTAGATATCTACCGAGAGTTGAGAAGTGAGAATTTCAAATGCCGTTTCACAAGTGATGAATGGGGAAGAGATGTCTTGGGAGGTCCCTCTACTTAACATGAAGGGCGACTAATAGAAACAGGTGGTCAGGCTCGCTGACTTGGTTAGCACAATAAGTCATCGTATCCCAATTGTGTAGATCGATGCTCATGTTGTAGAACACTTGATTGTCTGGTCCAGACTCGATTAATTACAGATCGCCGCCATAAAGATGGAATATTGCCGAGTGAAGCGGAAAACTTAACTAGCTCACTCTGTGGTTGATACTCGACTACGCACGTATAAACTAAAGAGTACCTCAGCTGCCTAAACTATGGCTCTTGCCGGCGTCATACGAGTTACGATGGCCGACGATTCCGTGGATGGCACCCGGTCACGTTCGGCTTGCGACTCCGACCGCACCATGAGGAAATAAACGATTGCCTGCCAAGCGGACTTACTAACTGACGGCAGGACCTCGTGCGGCTTGTGCCATGGGCATAAGCTACTGTCGGTCGACCTCGTCGACATAGACGGTGTCAACCTGAGCCGAGATATATCCCGTTATGCCTGATCAGCCTGATCAGATTAAATTCTAGCCTCGTTTTTTATCGAATTTGCAAAGAATAGATATATGGACGAATGAATGTATCCCGTAAGGGATGAAAATAATGCCGTATATTGTCCATTTAATCCAATCATATTACAAAAAAATTCTTGACACAATGAAAATCCGCTATAAAAAGAGTAGGGAGGACCCGTGAGGCAGGAGGCAAATAGAAAATGGGGATACAATTTGGCCATGAATTTTTGAGAGTGCAGACACGTGCTAGACATTATGATTTTTGGCGGGAAAATTAGATGAAAAGCAAGCAATATGCACAAAATATAGAATGCGATTGTCAGAAACATCAACCAAGGCGACACTACTGACCAGGAGTCTTGAAGTTCTTGAAAATTTGAAGAAAAATTAAAAAACACTTCCACTCTGTAAACACGTCTTCTGTGTTGTCCATACAGAAAAATTATGAGAGGTTTTCAACAACTACGTTGTGACGTCACAGCTTGCCTAAGGGAGATAACTGCGTAACTCTTTTAAGCATACCACTAGGGATAGCTATGACTTAGTTAAAATTTTCATTTCCATTCTGTATGTATCTGTGGAATCCACAGGAATAAGGCAACCATAATCCAGAGGGAATGTTTACGCCTATAATTAGTTGGCCTACAGTGACATTCCAGTGTTGTGTCAGAAATATTCCCCAGGCTGTCAGAGGTAAACATCATGTATGAAGCCTCTAACATCTGTCATAAGTGCATGATTGAGAAAACCAATTGCAGTAGTGATGGCAAAGTGAAGCAAACAACACACAAGTAGAGCATCTGACTGCTCACTACCAACTGACCTGGAGACTCCCCATCAATCTCACTGTTGACCATATCAGTTACAAAGTCACTGAGGGAGGAATAGGATGAGCTGGTGCTCTCAGCCCCTTCACTGTCACTGCCACTCTCATCTGTAACAAACAGCCATTATTCAGACATCGCTTGCACAAACAATTTAGTGCCTCATTCAAAATGAGAAAGTTGGCATATCAACAGACAATTTGAATAACTTTCAAAATTAGTTAGCAACAAATGATGCAAACACAGTCCTTGTGGCATGTCCATGGCTACTGCCTCTGTTAGCATCATTCCTCACAGCTGCTATGAACATCAATGATTCTCCCATTAACAAGATACTAATTGTATGTATCAGATGTGTGTTGTCCTTTTACTGCCAGTGACCCCAAGAACGAACAGAACTTCAATTCAGATTCACGTTGCTTGCCTCTATATTACATAAAGAGGAGCCAGATGATACATCCACTTCAGTGATACCACTATAAGGAGTTATTTGTATTAGGTTGTGGCAGCAATACCCAAACAGTGATATCAACCAGACACTTATTACAAAAAATTGTCATAAATAGTAAGGATGTGTACTGCAGGTATAAAAGAGCATCTCAATATTTTCCAATGCCATATCTCGATATATTGCATAAGACATAGTTTTGACTGGTCACAATACGTGACATAGCAGTTATTCTATGCACAAGAAAAATATGACATTGCCAGTACTACATTGCCTGTTATGTATAGCATTGGTGTCTAATGAGTGTCTAACGGAATAATGAGAGGGGTCATCAATAGAGCCCGAGACCCACATTATGGCAAGGGAAGACTATATAATTATAATCTTTAAATAAGACTAAGATGCTGGAACAACACATTGTTTACTCTATTGTAATACATACATAGTCATCTTGGGAATCCAGACGCATGTTCCTCCGTTTTGGAAGTTTAGTATGAATAACATGCGAGAATATTCGTTGATGTTGGGTATTGTTTGAAAACTCTGAACATGAATTAATGCCAAAACGTGTCCGAGAATTGTTTTTTCAATAACATTGCACAAAATAACTGCCGATTTTAAACTTGTCTAAAAAATATGGTAAATTGAAATGTAATACATTTTTAGACATCATGATAAATGAGTCATATGTCTGGTTCCTAAAATTTATATCATTTTGACATGACTACTGCCTCGCCAACTGACCAGCCTGAGGTGTTGAAAGGGTTAATTATCGATGTGAGAAACTACCATGTTTGTTTGATACAGTCAAATCTCGATGAGTCGAATCACTGGGGACCAAGTAATAAATTCGACTTCTCAATGTATTTGAGACATAGGTATGTCTATGAGGGCAGAAAAAAAGATGATCCAGTCCTAATTCCTCTTCCTAAGCATTTGTTTATCCAGGGATACTCTACAACATATAGTCTCCCTGGTTTATCTTATGATTTCCATATCACTAATAGGGGCACCTTATCAGTTCCAGTCTGATTAGCACAGACAGTGATTTCCGTAAAATCACTAATCTGCCTTTTGAACTCACCCGCCAATGGCGGAAAGGTGGGAGCCACGCTTGTTTGTTAATTGGATCAGTTTGCTACACCAATCAACTTCTCATTGACTGACTTCGGCTTACGTATACAAGATTGCTGTTGTTTGAATCTCATGGGACCAAATTTTCTTCTCGAGTCATTGTGTGTATTTATGAGACGAATTCGTGTAACCGGTAATCAAATGATGACAACTATAAACAGGGAATGGTCAGGACCGACAGGTACTTTGAGTTATGCATAATATTCAAGACACCGGCATTCGACTCATCGGTATTTGACTGTATATTCATAATTCTTTTGCTATTTTGGCTCTGCCAACGTCTCAACTGAAGTGGATGAAGGGAGCATTTTAAAAGAAGTTTTCCAATTCTAAATACATTTGTTCAATTCAAAGCTTAATCAGACATTATTTCAGGGAGCAACTGTCTGGTGGACAATTTTTAATCAGTAACTGCACAAGAATCCTGAGAGCGGAATGCTCACCTGTAGGTATTTCATCACTGTGAATTTCATTGGCTGAGGAGATGGCAGCACCCAAAGATGAATTCTCATCATACACTCTGAATTCTATGGGTTGTAGCTGATGAGCATACCACTTTGGTTTGTCTCCAATCAGAGAAGGGTCATATACTGCTGTCTGTACACGTAGATACACCACATTCTGTGGACTCAAAGACCACTCTGCAAAATATTCAACAGCCTGAAACAAAACATAGAGACACATAAGCTATTAGTTATTTAAAATGACAGTGTTACAAGTCAGAACAAATTTATTAAATTAATTTTCAAATGACAAAAAAGACTCACAACTGCATTACTGCATTTAAAACTTTCCATCAAACATGAGGTCACTCAAATTTCACCAATTTCCAATCTAGCTAAACTTGCTGCTTTCCTTTGTCTGCTGGTTGTGAGTATTGTACCTGTGTGCGGGCAAGTCTGGCTGTGAAGTGAGTCTTGATGGGCCTTGACTTGAGGAAGCTGTACATCTGGAAGGCCACAACCGGACGTGGATAGAGGCGCAGGGTACGTGTGTGTTCACAGAAGTTACCCATGATGTTCGCAGAGTTGAAGAATCGGATCTTTGAGGTACAAAAAAGTAAAAATAAATCGTGGAATTTTTACAAAACAATTTTGGTTTGATGTATGTTTGTAAAAGCTATTTGTTCCACTATGAAATTTAGGAGCAAATTGTGTACCTGAGGCTTCTGTCAGGAAAAGTAAACATATTGCACTTAGAAGAACAGTTTTTGGTAGGAGGATCTGAGCATCACATAGACAAATATGAGCTGAAGACATTGAAATAGTTCTGTTTTTCTTCATATTTCCTTCCACATGGACACATATTTGCCAAAGTATGTGTGAGGGATTTTATCCTTGTCAAGTGAAGTCCTTTTCTTTGCAGTAAAAAGAGTTCTCCACAGCTGCTGGACACATCACTTGTCAAAGTTGAAAAGTTTGTTCCTGCGCAAGTTTTCATCATGTTTGGGAACAATATCTGATGGCACCACAAACATGGATCACAGCCAGGGCAATGACCAATTCCAGAGATGCCAATCCTAATTTGGCCCAATTAGTATTTTGGCCAAAAACATGCAAACATTTGTATTTTTTTACCAAAATTAATATTTACTTTTCCAAAGAATTTTCACATTTCATAACAATATATATCTATAGATATTCTAAGAACTTGTTATTAACATTGTACAATGTACTCACATAAATCAGTAGTAAATATCCACATATTTATAACTTGATACTGAATAAAATGAGGTTGAAATTGATTGTGTATGGTACGTATGCTATTTGATAATTTAATTTAATGTTCTATTTGAAAGAATTGTATATTTTTACTGATGTCATAGTCGCATATTTTGTGTTGGTTTTGTTTCATAACGAATACGATAAAATCGTATGGGTTGGCATCTCTGCAAATCGTGCGCTGGCACATTGTCCTGATAGAAGATCACACTATTTCTCAACATTCTATGTGTCTTAATCTTTACTTGACCTCGTACTCTGTATATTGTGCCTTTGTTTTTGGAAGCTAGTTCACCATAATGTCCCACTAGGAATCCAAGAACACAGTAGTATCTAACCTTCCCAACTTATGTGACAGTCTTTGCCTTCTTTGAAGGTGCTTCTTCAAATACTTCCATGGGTCGGATTGATCAGGCTGGAAGTGGTGAACACAGGTTTCATCAAGTCAGAAATTGTAAGAAGAACCTTCTTGTTTATCACAAGACTTGAGGCTGGAGTGATTTTGATCAGATGTCAGATACTTTTGAATCCAATTAGATGATATTTCTTCCTTGTCGAGGCTTCCGTTACAATGGAACATACTCTCTCCTTGGAAATGGCTGGTGAACTTGATCACTAAGTCGTCAATTCTCTGGATCATTTCGAATTGGGTTTGTCTTCAAGGTTCTACCTGCCCTGCTTTTACCTTGCTGTACACCTCTTTGGAGTACCATAGGAAGAGGCATCCTTTACTAAGTGTTGATCTCATGTGTCCATGGATCGCTTTCGATGCTAAAAGCCCATTTTGGTGATTGAGGCTAGAGCAGTATAGCCAGTGCTTGAAAGAGAGAATATCTATGCAAATGCTCTTGTGACAGCCCAGAGTAATACATTAAAGTACTTTTCACATCCAAACCCGAACTTATGTGCAATTCAGCGTTCTGAGCACTGTATTTCTTGTGTGACCTTGACTGAGAGAGCACAAGTTATTGTCTGGGGCATTCACCAGTGCACACAGAGAGGGCAAACTCCAGGTAATGAGTGTTTAGATTTGTGGGCCATCAGTTCCTTATATTGATGGCTATGTAATTCAAGTATTCTTTACTATATTGAGTCAGTTAGTTTATGAGATTTTTACAGTGATTTTACTGGAGACAAGTGTATTTTCCATGTTCATGTTTGGGGGTTTTTTTTGCCCAACTTATCATCCTGGAAAAAACCCTGATAGGAATCAGTTTGGGATTATGGCTTACGTCACTTTCATGAATCTTTTTCATTCAATGTTTTATAAACAAAACACTGCATGTTGATATAAATTCCAGGTGTGTCTGATGCCTTGCCATCTTTAGACTCTTTCTGATTCCTGCAATGACATTCAGACGTGAATAACTAAAAACCTTTTGAAACTAAATGAAAGTAAAACAGAATTCCTGCTTAATGGATCAAAAACAAAACTTTCCAAACTTGATAAGCCTTCTTTCCAAATAGGAAACACTACCATAGCCCCAACCGCGAAGGTCAAGAATCTAGGGGGTATTCTTGATGAAAATTTGAAAATTGGCAAGCAGATCTCCAGCATCATTAGCACGGCTCATATGCACCTCAGGAACATTGGAAAACTCTACGATTATCTGAGTGCTGATGCTGCTACGAAACTCATCCGATCTCTGGTCATGTCCCGAGTAGAATACAGTAACAGACTTCTCACATGTACATCAACCAAGATAATGTCAATATGTGTTGAATCTGATACTTCTCTTTTCAAAACATTTTGCCGCAACAGATTTCCTTTTTCTGGAAGATTGATCTGATGAGTTACCAATATTCTTTGTAGGTGCTGGCTGTATCTTGGATCATGTCAGTTTGTGCCACTGTTGTGCTGGACGTGTCAGAGACCTAAATATTCAACAAGTTCACTATTCTTGAACTGGATTTGCTGTTCCTCTTCATTGGCGATGTTCAAGTACAGTCCAACCTTCAAAGCCAAGAACATTTAAGTGGGAAATGTTACTGACACTTGCTGTATAATTGGGGTTGAACATCAGCATCTGCACAATTTCAGATACAATCCTGGTGACTTCAACAACATCATCAGTTGGCCTCTTCATTATGTTCAGCCAAGGTCTGATTCAGATCTGATCAGTTTCACGCACTTTTGGAACTTCTTAAAAGACATGACATGAGATTGACAGGGATATGGGACTGTATAGTGAAAGATGGAAGCCCATTGGGCCAATTGATGGATGAAGGTGACTCCATTCCTGGAAGTGATTATTCAAACCAATCCAAACACACATTACACTGCAACAGTCAATTCATTCAGAAATTATTCCTGATCCTTTCATGATTGAACACTTTTGACGTGTTAAGAAAATTACAAGAACAATATATCTCTTTCAAGAACTTGTACATTTGTTTCTGTGTCCATTTCAGACATATGTGGGTAATGGTTGCACATTTCTGCATTACGTAAAAACCCTGGATATATCTTGAGAAAATTCTAGCCAAACATTGATGTTGTTCATGGCCAGGAACTGATGTACACTACACAAGCTATTGTCAAGCATTGTCCTGTTGAAGATCCCATGTCTGTGCTGTAAGAATGGTAACACAAAGGTTAGTGCAATGCTAGGCATTAAAATTTCAATCCATGGAAGGTCCATGAGAAAATTCTAGCCAAACATTGATGTTGTTCATGGCCAGGAACTGATGTACACTACACAAGCTATTGTCAAGCATTGTCCTGTTGAAGATCCCATGTCTGTGCTGTAAGAATGGTAACACAAAGGTTAGTGCAATGCTAGGCATTAAAATTTCAATCCATGAAACCAGTTCTGTATACAGTCAGACACCTATCGAAGTCTGTGACATGTTGTAAGGCCTGAGGACACGCAGCTCTGACAGTTATCCTGAAACGCTCTATCAACTTGATTTTTGTTCACTGCAAGATTCTTGCAACACTGATGTTACTTGTCCAAAAATGTACCATACCAATTGCTCTCGCTTGTCTTTAAGCAGCTGGACTTGCCATGTTCTCAGATGACAATCATTTGACATGCCGCTGTTTTTACACCCACATGTACATGGATATCAAGTTCCATGTGCATTGAAAGATATCTTCAAGGCTTCATTTATCCACACTTCTCCAAAATGCAGCAACTTGCTACAATTTCCATACGTTCCATCAAACAATACTATTACCCATTTAACTTTCATTGAATGTAATGATAAATATCTCAAAAACAGTATTACAGTATACTTTCTAATGACCAATTAGTTTATGATGAAATTCTAATTAATCTGTGCCTTGTGTGGTTTGTGGCTTAAAGTAATGAGCTTTTATATCTCAATTTCAACAATGGACATGACTTCCTCAATAATATAATTTACACAGGACATTTAAATGAATTCATTTTCACTCAATATATCCAATCTGACAGCTCATATGTAACCCACAATAAAATATTTATTACTCTTCTCTTTAGATCTTTTTGATAAATGTAATTAAAATTGATATTTTATACTTATCCTGACTCATGCTTTATTGCTTGTCTCCTTCTTCTTGCGAATGATAGTGGAACACTTGAATCCCCTTTTGAAGCTCCCTTCAAAAAAGCGGACGTAAGATCACTCACCCAGTGTTATCTCCCTTTTACATGTTTTGGCGGGAAAATGTGTCACATGACCCAACATTCTCTTCACTCTCTCCTGAATTATGCGCCCGACACCTGGATTACAGGGAATCCAGAGTGCCATGAGGGGAGGTTGGGAGGGCTTACCTCATGAGTCAGGATAAGTATAAAATATCAATTTTAATAAAAAAATTACATATTTTTCCTTATCCTGACTCATGCTTAACTGCTTGTAGAATCCAACGGAATCGGTGGTGGGTCAATCCACTCTGGATTTAATGCTGATGTACGTCCTGCATACCCCCCTGAGGGAACTTCTTATAGTACTATGCTGATCCTTCCTTCCAGCTTCCTCTGATGAGTTTTGGGGGACCACAACTTGTCAGATTTCTCTGGAACCGCTTCTCCTGACAGTAAATGTGGATTTATACGACTCCATGTCTTGATTTTTGCATCAAGTGGAGAAGCGACCCTTCATCATATACGAGTACGTCCTTACAAGTATAGAGTCTGTCACTCATGCTAGCCTATCTTAGACGTGTGCATGGACTCTAAGCTCCAACTCTTCCGAGTGCCGGCTTTTACAAGTCATGTGATAAAAGGGTGAGATTCATCTCAGCATCTTTGAGGAACCATTAATTGTTGTGCTACAACAAGAGGCCCAAACTGGTGGATACCGGAGACATCCTCGGTAGCAATGTCTCTGAGGT